ACTATGTTTGCAGATGATACTAACTTATTTCTTTCTAACAGTGATATCTTTGAACTTTTTAAAACAATGAAAAAAGACCTTATACATGTATCGAGTTGGTTTAAATGTAATAAGTTAACTCTAAATTCTAATAAAACAAAATGACCTTATTCCATTCGCTTTCCAAAAAGCAGTATTTGCCATTAAACTTACCTAAAATTTTTATTGATCAAAATGAAATAAAAAGGGATTCCGTAACAAAATTTTTAGGTGTTTATCTTGATGAAAACATCACTTGGAATCATCACATCGACTACATAAGCACTAAAATTTCAAAAAACATAGGAGTTTTATATAAAGCACGAATCTACCTCAATAAGAAAATTTAATAAAACTTTATTATTCATTTATACACAGTTATTTAAATTATGCTAATATCGCCTGGGTTAATACAGAAAAAAGTAAGTTGCAACGTCTTTATCGCCGTCAGAAACATGCTATCCGTTTAATCTGCTTTGCAAATCGCGAATAAAATAATGTTTTTCTCACGCAAAACATTATTTTATTGAAATGAGAATTTTAAATATATACGAGCTAAATATATATAATGTTTTATGCTTTGTAAACATGTGGAAAAATGACTTGTCTCAATCTGTCTTCAAAGATATTTTTACTCCAAAACCCATCAACAAATAAAATTTGAGAAATACTGATTTTTTAAATGAACCTTTCTGTCAAACGAACTTTATTCAATTTTGTATTGCCTATCGTGCACCACACTTTTGGAATAAAATTGTTTTTCCCAATTTTGACTTCGAACTACCCGTTACTTTACGTTTTTTTAAAAGTAAATTAGAAACCCTAACTTTTTCATTAGAAGACGTATTATGTTATTATTAATAATATAAATTAATAACTTTGTCTTTTCTTATTTATATTTGTAAAAAGTTTGTTCTTACCTATTTTGTTGATTTTATATTCTTTACTTAAAGTATACGTTTATATAAAATATTGGTGAGTAGATCCGCGTGATCTCTCTTTGGATTATATAATATATATTTGGATTATATATATATGAAATTTGTAAAAATTTGATACTGTTAATTCTTGTTTGAACTTATTTAAGGTTCTGACAACAAGATCCTTTGATCTTCTTTCAGATACCTTATTTTATATTTGTGAAAGTTTATTATTATTATCTATATATTTTTTTTTTTGGCAATGTATAGTTGTAATACGACCAACAAATGTAAAAAAAAAAAAAAAAAAAAAAAAATGTATTTATATATATATATATATATATATATATATATATATATATATATATATATATATATATATATATATATATATATATATATATATATATAGGAATATTTTCAAAAGTATTCTACTAAATGGAATGCTCTATGCTTTTAAAGAAAACAGAGCTATATATAATATGGAATTTCACAAATTTGTGAAATACGTTCACACTATTATAAAAAAAATCTTTAGAAATGTTTATTTCTGTTGTTTTTTTTATTTTTAGTAAGGATTAGTATTATTATTTTATTAGCCCACTTTTTTATATTATAGCTCAGCTGTTTTTGTAGCTTTTTACGACTGCAGACATAAAAATAAGTTTTCTCAACATATAACACCCCAGTAAGCACAAGACGCATTTTAGACACTTATAGACGTCTAAAACTAGTCTAGGTAAAGACGCACTTTTATAGACGTTTTGAAGACATATTTTAGACGTCTTTTATGAATGCGTTTTTAAAATGACGTTTAAAATGCGTCTTTTTAAAGTTTAAAAAGACGTTTAAAAGACGCATAATAAATAGTCTAAAAGCATTAAAAGACGTCTAGATCTTAAGGCTAAAAGACGTCTTTTCTGAGACCTGTTTATAAATATGTCATTATGACTTCTTTTTGACGGCTTTGTCATTACGCGTTAAGTAGATGTCGTATATTCAAAGTAAAAACATAGTTTTTATTATTTTCAATAACTTGTTTAAGTTTTAAGTGTAAATTACTTTAAATTAAATTACTTTTTTACACAATTGCTAAAATTGTTGTCACAGGAATCACTAAAATAATTGCTATAATATTAATATATCTTTTTTTTACTAATAATTATTTTGCTTTTTTAATAGATAGTTGACTGATCATGATAATAAGTGAAAATGGCAAGAATAATATATAAGTTAAATATCAGTATTTTTAGTTTTTATATACCCACAAGCCATATAATAATTCAAGTATGCGGTCAAAAATTAGCTACCAATTTCTATGTTAAATTTAATTACAACCAAAAATAAGTTATAATAATGTTAGTGTTTTAAATACTGGAATGATATATGTGTTATTGTTATATATTATTTTCATCCTTGATGCATCAACCGTTTGTGGTGATTACAGCAATATTATTTTGATTGCTGGTTCCTATGCATATCTTGTATATACGAAATTATAACAATATATGATTTTATAAATACAATGAATATATACCACATACTACGCGAAAATGTTACGTCATGTACTTAAATTCATCTTAAAAAAAAACGTCTAAAATACGTCTAAAACGCGTTTTTATAAAGACGTCTTCATTTAGACGTCTTTTAGCCTTATGATCTAGACGTCTACAAGTGCGCCTTTTATACCTCCTTAAAGACATCTTTAAAACGTCTTTTAAACGTCTTTGTGCTTACTGGGACGAATGTGTGAAATATTACAGAAGTAAAGATTTTAAATAAAGCTCCAAAATTAACTTCTTGTATATTCTATGCTATTGGAACACTATACTAGTTATAATATTAAAAAAATACTTCTTTCAATATTACTTTTTACAATTATATTTATTAGCTTTCTTATCAATAAATAGTTTGAATATATATTTTATATCTTATATACAATAATTGTATATAAGATATTATTCAAACTATTTATTGAATAGAATGTTAATTTATTTACCTTTGCATACCTATACTATTTAAATACAATTATTGTATTTAAATGGTATAGGTATGCGAAGGTAAATAAATCCAAACTATTTTTTAAATAGTAAGCAAAATTGCAATTAACTCTAATAGGTACTGCTTATATATTATACTATTGAAAAATTACAGACATTAAACGAAAATGAGTGCATGATTTATCTTTATTTTTGTTGGTAAAATTTAAAGTAATTTCAATTGAGCTTGGTTGGCTATATAGTTATATTACCTAAAAAATTTGAAAAAAACTGTTTTTATAAACCATATTTTTTATTTCAACTGTTTATTTTTCTTTAAAATATTAGATTAATGTTTTTAACTAGTATGTATCTAAATTAATTTATATTGTGCCATTTAAACTTTTAATCTTTTTTTTTTGGCAGAATTAGAAAATTATCTGACTATTTTTGCCCTTTGATTTGATTCTAACAAAAATAAATTTACTGATAACAAAAACTAATTTACTGATTTTTGGTCTCACTTTTTGGCACTGATTTCGGTCCAAAAAATTGGGTATTTACTGTTTAGATATCTCAAACATGCTTTATACTACTTTTTAATTTTATATAAAGTTCTGTTAAAATAAAAACAAGAGTTTGCCCAAGATTCTCACTACAAACGGAGTTCCGAGTTATAAACAATAATAAAAAAATGCAATAATAGATCTTTTTAGTGAATACTCTAGTGATTATGTAATTACTACAAACTTATCTTCTTTTTTTTTAATGCTTATCTAATTTTTTTTTAACTTCACGCATTTCATGCAAGCAACAAAAATTGTTGGAACCTTTGATAAAAAAAATTGTAATATTGCTCTTAATGTTCTGAATAATATTTTTAAATACTAGTTGTGGTTAACTCAGTTAACTAAAACTGTCTGAATCTGTCTTTTTCATTTATTAGTATTTTATCAAAATGATATTTGCTTGTATTCAAAATGCACAGATAAATTCGTCAACAACATAGACAACAAACGTTTGTATGCAGCAGCTCTTACTAAAACCTTTTTTTGCGCAATCAGATCATGTATGTTTTTGTGTTTTGTAACAGTTTAGATTAACGTCAAGATTTGGTTCACAGTACCTTGCAAGCAGTTGATTATTCAACCAACGAGAGCATATTGTTTTAATAGATCACTCATATTAGCATAAATATTGAAGAAAAATAGGAACCCCATTGGGATCTCACTCGGAGTTGTTCAAGAAACCTGTATGAAATCCATAACGATTGCCTGTAATTATGGAATCACAATTAATTCTTTTCTCACTTTAATTATTCTTACGGCGCCCATAAGTTCATATTATTTTATAGACATATTGTTATACTATTATAAACTCACAATGTTCCTTATTACTAATATGTTACTTATCAACTGACCGTATGAGCAAAGCTAACTGCATTCACCATATGAGTATATACTCATATAAACTTTATGTTTTTAAAAATAATCAAAGTTTTTCTACATAAATAATTAAAGATTAAGCACAGCCTTTTTTAAATAAAAACTACGGAAAGTTTTTATATTGTTGTTTTGTTTTATCTGTTGTTTCAACATCAAAAAGTTTAGGTTTATAGCATTGTTAATGCTTAATTTAAATGATTTGTAAAGATGAGATTTATTTAAGCATGTTAATGTGTTAAAAACAGACTAAGAAGTTACCTAGCAGTACGAAAACATAATTATCACCCGAGTCTCGATTTACGTTTGTATTGCGAGGTAACATAGCAATATCTTTATCTATTTTTAGATAATAAATCTGTTAAGAGATATTAAGTTTATCATCTGCACGAATCTATACTTCTTTTATATTGTACTGAATGAAAAAAATTCTTCGCCTATCTAGGATTTGTTGCATTCATACAGCTCAAGTTAAATCGCATTTAAAAAGATTTAAATGCAAAGTTTTAAATTGAGTTTACCAATAAAATAATGGTTACTACGGTTGTTTTAATTATTGCTTTTTGATCTTGTTAAGAAAACATATAAAAAAAAAAATAGTTCATAACCTAAATATAAAAGACGTGATAATTTAAAAAAAAATGACTCTTCTTCATAAAAAACAGTCGAAGCTAAAGTTGCAATCTCGTTTACTTATCGAATACATTGATAAAAATGATCTAAAGAGTGCAGAGAGCATACTGATTAAAAAAATAGACATTAATGCTGATGTATTAACTAGCTACGGAGTTTTATTAAATCCCTTATGTCATGCAGTAACTAGTGGTAGCATGGAAATGGTACAACTATTGTTAAAATATGGTGCAAACGTAAGCCCATTACTAGATGATAAAAAAAATCCTCTTCAATTAGCTATCATTCAAGATAATGCCCAACTCTTTGAAACATTACTAAAAGCAGATATTAAACAACAAATTGATTTCAACTTGTTATTACTGTATGCAAGTGAACTTGGAAAAACAAACATTATTAATATTCTTGTTAAAAAGTGTTCCAACATTAATTTTTGCGATGCTAAAGGCGAAACAGCACTTTATAAAGTTTTGAAAAAGGGATATTCAGATTGTGTTAAAATACTACTTGAAAATGGTGCAACGACAAAAAATAATAAACAAAAAACTCTTGACAGAAGCACACCTCACTTTCTTAACTATGATACAAGCAACAACCTGATCACAAAAAATGAAATGGTTACAAGAGCATCGTTTGAAAATGCTGTTAATAAACACTTCAATCTGGTATTCGGCTCAAACAAAGAACTAAACGTTAATAAAGGAAAACAGTTGTTAACAAAACCCCTTTACATAAAACTTCAAGACGGTGTTTCACTTCAAGAAAGCGAAAAAGCTATTAAAGTAAAAACACTATTCTGCAAAGCACGTTCTGGTTCTATTGGATCTTCATTCACACATTTGTAAAAAAATTCAATACAGTGGCGTGTCTATATATTGAAATAAGGAAAAGTAAAAACCTCGCCTTTAACGCCTTGACTATCCTTTGCGTTATAAACTTGACATTTTCTTGTGAAATTATATATATATACAGTTTTATAAACTACAGTAAAGTTATCTGTCAAAAAAAACTTTAGAGCACATTTTCCAAAAGCAAATAAACACAAAGAAAATTAAAAAAGTTGTTTTCAAATAATCGCAATCTCATTTTCTGGGCACACCAATGTCTAAATATCGTTATATATTTTTTATTTATTTATTTTTGACACGATAACTTTTTATCAAAAAAATTACCAAATATTTTTAAAATGGTTTATTTAACTAAAGAGATAGCAAACAAATTTACTTAAACTTTTACATGTTTAAATTTTGACGAAACATGTTGTTGAACAATTATAAATAATAAAAATATAAATATAACTTGAGATTATGTTGTAAAAAGCAGTTGTAAATATAACTTGAGATTATGCTGTAAAAAGCAGTTGTAAATATAACTTTAGATTATATTTAAAAAAACACTATGTAAAAGAATATAGTTTTTGTAATCAGTTATAAAAGTAAATAAATTCCTGCCGAGTTTCTATACTTTTTTCCTTTTATTTTGTTTAAAACAATCTCTGACGGATTGAATGACAGCACTGATGAGCTACAAAATATGTAAAGTGGTTTCATTTAGCCGGTTGTATGGTGTGACTTCTGTAGAAAATCACAACACCACTTTTGTTTTATCATTTTAAAGGCAATTTGTTTGTTTATTTGGCCATCGTCCTTAATATTATTATTCTTTATTTAATCTTACCTAAATGGCCATAACCTACATCGAATCTCCGACTTTTTGAAGTCAGCACATAAGCATATCAAATCTCCGACTTTTAAAGTCAGCACAAAACTACATTGCCACGGCTGCTCTGTATAGGTATACTCTGTACATAATTATGCGTAAATAGATGGATGGGCTAAAAACCTATAGTCTTCTCTTTTCTTGCAATTGTAAATTTACTAATTTAGAAATGTAAGAACGTATTAATGTACACCTGCTAAATCAATTTACTTTTTGACTCATAATGTAAAAACATAATCTTAAAGGCAATTTTTTGAATTCAAATTTCGAAAATTCTTTCAAGTTGATTTTAACATTACCAATAAAAAAAAATTGTTTAAAAATAAAATTGTTAAAAAATTAAATACTTTTTTTAGCAATTATATTTAACGAGCAGCTAAACTCAAATTTAAAATAACTCATTAAAGTTGTTTTTTGATTTATCTTGAAAAAATTTAATTAAAAAAAAAATTCAAATTCTTTCAAGAATCAAACTTTTTTTTATATTTTATTTTTATTTTTTTAGTTTGTTTTTTTAATTTGTTCTATAAATAGTAAATAAAATTAATTTCACAAACACAAGTTTTCTGAAAAAAAGATCGTACTGAACTTTGTGTTTGCAGAAACATAGAATTGGGAAATTTCTCATTATACTTTGCGAAAATATGCGCTATGTGTCTATGAAAAAAAATGCTTTGAATAGATATTTTTTTTTCTTATAAAAGGAGCATTTAAAAAGGAACACCTTCAAAATAAAGCCAATAATTGTGTAACTAGGATATATATTTAATTAAAAATAACAATTTTGTTATCAGGTTTTTTCATAGTACTTTGTATAAATTGTAAACATAAAATGCGTTGTTTATGTTTTTTATTTGGCAAGTCTGTTACCTGAGAATGTTAAAAAAGTAATGCGGTAACGTTAACTCTGACTAAATTTTTAATGAGTTACCTTTTACTTTTATTTGAGTAAACCTTTCGACCGGTAACGTTTACTTGTACTTGAGTAAAATTTTACTCAAGTAACAGTACTTTTACTTAAGTACAAATTTTTTTTACTTTTTTCATCTCTGATCAACACATAATCAACAAAAAAAAACAATCGTCTTTTTCAACAAAAGTTCTTAACAAAGTTTACAATTTAAATAGTTACAATTAAAAATACCTGATTTAACCATCCATTGAAAGAAATAAATTTTTGAGTTTATATTTGTGAATAAAACATATTGGACAAAATAATTTTATTAAAAAAAAAAAATTATTATGTCTTGGCGTATATTTATTTATTTGTTTCAAACAATAGAGATCTTTAAAAATAGTTAAAGTCATTTTTCGACAAATGCATAAAACATAAAACATTAAAAACATTAAGTTCATAAATATTAAGAACTTTCATTTAAACAAAAAATGGTTTGGAATGAGTAGGGGAGAGTGGTACTAAATGGACCTTGTACTGAATGGACCATTAGAAAAATAAAAACTTAACAAGCTGTTAATTGATTTTTTTTAATTGCATATAATTATTGTATACTCAAAGTTTCTTTAATATTATTGGTTTAACTTTATTCGTAATAATGGATTAATATTTGTATTTTTGTTTTTTTTCGAGAAAAAAGTAGATTTTTATCTTTTTAATTTGTTTCAATTTACACTAATTTTTTAAAGTAAAGTTAACTATGTTTAATTTTAAATTAAATTTTTAAAGGTAAAATTTTTAAGGTAAAGTTAACTATGTTTAATTTTAAAAAAACTAAGGTAAAGTTAACTATGATTAATAATAATATCATAAAAACATATTTTATACTTTGTATAACATTAGAATGAATGTTATATTATTTACTGATTGCTGTGATTATATGGGTAACATGTACATTTTGGTTAGTGTACTAGATGAACCACCATTGATTGTACTGAATGGACGGGTACATTTTTCTGCCAAGTATTTATCGCGCTTCGGTATGGGTTCTAGGAAAAATCCCCCGGGAAAAAATCCCCCTGGAAAAAATATCCCCCCAAAAAAATTTTTTTTTTTACATAAAAATTATCAATATGCAGTTATGTTTCATTCTTTCTTTATTTTGAACATTTATATAAAATACTTCATTTATATAAAAAACATTTTTCATCAAAATGTCAAGTTATGGGCTGTTCCTCGAAGGAAGCGAATGTGAAACCCTAACTCTGACAAGTTGCGAACTGGTAAAATGTGAAGTTTTTGCAAACCATCGTAGTTAATTTAGCGGTATATTTTAAGGACTTTTAAGCGAAAAAATTATTTAAAAAAAAGTAAAAGGAAATTAAGTGAAACTAGACGAAAACAATATGAAAATGTATATGTTTTTTTTAATTATTTGATAGACTGCCTGCCCAACCCAAACCCTCAGTGGATGTTGCAGCACTGCGTTGCGAGTCAGGCTATTGTCAGTTGATGTAGCAGCATTCCGTTGCGAGTCAGGCTATAAGATAGTCTATGTAGCAACACTTCGCGCATGTTTTACATTTAAAAAATAAACTTTTTATTTTAAATGAAACTTTAAAATAGAATATTAGGAATTAGAGAGTTTTTTTTATTATTATTTTTACCGACAACCAAGGAATAGCTTTACTTTAAATTTTGATGAAAAATAAAGTATTTTATAAAACTATTTAAAATAAATAAGTATAACTATTTTATTGATAATTTTTTCTCGTGGGGGATTTTTTCAAACTCTTACTCTAGGTTTCATAAATTTTGTTTATAGTAAAATAGTTTGCTGCAACTCTGTCTGTCATTGTGTTTGATATATTTGAGATAATTGGCTTACAACATTCGTCAAAAAGGAACAAGTGATAATGTGAATAAATTAAAGCCGTATGATCCACAGCGTTTCGTATGCGTTTTTGAAAGTCATCTGATGTACCTCCAGGTAATTGGTCCAAAGCAATGACTTGACTATTATCTTTTAATGTCAAGTGAATGCTGCTGATATGGACACCTTCTTGTGTTGTTGCATCAAACCCATTAGTCAGATTTTTGTAACCGAAGACCCATTCTGCAGCTTGTAGGTTAGATATACTGCCAAGCTTACGAGCCATTTGCTCAACAGTAATGCGCTGGGGAATATACAAAATATCAACACCAAAATATTGTTTAACTTTTTCCAATAAGAATAGAACATTACCTGTTGGCACATTAGACAACAACATGCAACAAATTAATTAATGATATTAATTATTAAAAAAACATTCCATTAAAATCAGGAACAGGAACTTTTCTAAGATCTTTTCTTTGTCAAATCTTTCTCCTGTTTAATGGTAATATCTAAAGCTGTAAGTAGTATTTTTAGTTTTATAGTATATTTCTTTTTTAGTATTTACCTAGTAATTTTAGTGCTTCTTATTTTCTTTTTCTTATTTCTTTTTACCTCTTCTTCTTTAAATTTTTTCAGTACTTCATCAGTTGTAAGAACTTTTCCACAACTCCTTTGTAACCTTTGTCTCTTTTTTCAAAGTTTTTGAATTTTTCAAAGCTGTACGCATATCTTCAGGTTGATCAGGTGATAGTGTGGTTATAATTGCATCCCTTAGCTTTCTTATCCTAGTTGATGGACCTGGTGAATTTAAACAATCTGAATTGCTAGATGTTTTCATGACGTTTCCAATATTATTCGATTGATTAGTTTCCAGAGCTTGAAAAATTCCAAGTTCAGGATCTGTTTGGATTGAAATGTTGGGTTGAATTGAAACAATTTTGCTATTCAGAATAGTTGGGCTCACTGGGTAAATACCAGATCCTTTAAAACCGCCTATTATGTGATTAGATTTGAATGAAACTTCTTCAAGTTTTTTTAAAAGGTCTGAAAAAACAGCTTTATTTACATTTTTAAGACGTAACTCACAGTACCATGTCTTTAATATATTTTTTCAGTCGCTTTTCATAGGAGCAAATACACAATCTCCAATAGTTGAAAAGCATGCAACGTATGAGGCGGTAAACATAAAAGTATGATGCCATTATTCCTCGCTATACGGGTTACGTTATAAGTCAAGTGACTTCCATGTCCATCAAATAATACTAAAACTGGCTTTTCAAGGTGTTTTATTTTCTTGACAAATGCATTTAACCATTTTTCAAAAATATAATCCTGCATCCAACCAGATTATGTAA